TCAACCTGCATCAACTAAGCTGTATCAACCTGCAATTTAGACCCTTCGTATTTTCCATATGCATTGGTCAGTCTGGATTTATTCTGCAGATTACTAAAATATACTCTATTACACGCGCAACCAGCCAACCTTGATATGTTGCGACAGGCTTTGCACAACTCTCTCTCGTAAAAAAACATTTATATGAATTTCTCATGATTAAATATTCAAAACCGTTACTTATCCACTCAAACTACGAGTAATTTAGAGTCAAAAGTGTATGATAGTTGAGGCGAATAGGCGGATTTAGTGACAACTATCGCAGATCGAGCCGATGGTGTTGACAGTTTTTTTAGTTTATTATAATCATAACAACATTCCTGAAGTTGACTGCCATTTGCGGCCTTGTTAATAACGTCGTTATGCTTATTGAAACTCACAGATAATGTTTACATTTACAAGAACGACAACACCGGGCGTTAACTATCGATAACATTAATCGTCGTTTCATTAATATTTGTACTTTTAATATATTTTAGATATAGAAAAGTAAATGATACAACATACCAGAAGTGCTTTTCAAGCGGGCGGACAAACAATTATCCACGATATACCACAAGTGAACTTCGACATTTGTACTCGTAAGGCGGTGTGATTTTCTAATTCACCGGCAGATCAAAGTAAGCAACAGTCAATTTCAAATCCTATCGGAACAAATTGATATACCTCAGGCTCAGTAAAATCACTGAAATCTTAACAGCTGTAAGACCATGTTTGAAAATATCTTGACCCATACTAATATCATTCGCTCAGTAATTATGTACACGCTTTGAAGCGAGACCTGCAGTTTCTATAGCTCATTGGGATAAGAAACTATTTAATTCTTATTTAAATCATGTTTTTTTCGCAAAGAATTTGCTTTCGTAATCATGTCTAACTAAGCTAGAAATCTTATACATTATCAGACACCAACTGAAAATAATCATGTTCTGTCACAGACATCAACATTGCCTAATATTCGGCTATATAGAGCGCTGTACCAGAATCGCAGAACCACAGGTTTGATTCCTGGCAAAGGTGGCCCTATAGTTTTCGCAGCTGCTCGTAGTCAGGTCTGAAATTAAAAATGTATAATGATGTGTATCATGACGTAACAGTAACAAATAACGATAAAAATACTCTTTTGTTTCTGATTTTATGCACCCAAAAGAAGGTATAGGTTTGTGAATTGTGATGATGTTTCTCAGTGTGTCCATACCGGGCAAGTTGAAGTTTTCAGGCATTGGATTCTCAAAGGGTGATTAAGATATAAGACGAACTACTGATCCACTCAGCACATAAAATGGTCGCTAGTATTAATTTGGGCCCGAAATCAGTGGTGATCGCTAGATAGTATACTTCAAAATAAGGTTTCCGTTTTTGTAACGTAGAAAAAACTATCCTAACGCAAAACTAAACCCTAACCCAAATACTAACCCTCACCCTAACCTAAACCCTAACCTAAACCCTAACCTAACCCTAACTTATTTTAATTATTTTAAAAATTGATATAAAAACGGAAACCTTATTTTGAAGTATACTATCTAGCAATTGCCCGAAATCAGTCTAGTGTGACCAGTGAGCTCTATATTTATATCTGGAGTTATACCTACAGTCATTTCGGCCTGTGGGAAAAATGGGTAAGATTTATCGATTTAAAAACACGCTTTTTCATGGATTAGTCCCAGGCCTTTCCGCGTGGCTGGTACGGTTTCGATTCTGAGCCTCTGGAGACTTACTGTCAATGCAATGGAAGTGTTGATAAAATATTGCATCAATTCATTTCCTCAAGTTGATCAATTCATACGAATTCAAATTTTTTTTACTTCCTGTGCGTTTCCTATTGGTCAATTGGTTCTGAAACGAAATCTAATTGGCTCATCCAAAGGTAACAGGAAGTTGATCAATTTTCTATCAAATGAATTGATCAACTTGAGGAAAGGAATTGGTGCAATATTTTATCAACACTTCCTTTGCATTGACAGTAAGGCCTAACAAAATTCGTTAATTATGAATTTCATAAAGTAAACTTACCCAAACTTTCAGCACATGAACTTCCTTCCATTTACCAAATACCTTCATTCTTCATCCCAAAGCCATAAATTATCCAACAAAGATCGATTTAAATATGTAAACTGGAAGGACAAAAATGTTTCCCAGGAAGACAGTTTGCGAGTTCTCGCTTCCGCCTCTCCCAGACATCCAAAGCAAGCGCGCATGGCGCAAGGGAAAGGCAGGAACTACGCTAACTTTTTTATATATAAAAATATCCATGAAAAATTTCTCAATTCTTATTGGCTAAGAGCAGTGCAATTGTTTCGAAATACAGTGCCAAAAAATGAAAGACAATGCTTGTGATGTTACTCTGAGTGTATATCCACACCGGGCAAGCCTGAAAAATATGCCTGGCCACGGTGGGAATCGAACCTACGACCTTTGGAATACTAGCCCAATGCTCTGCCAACTGAGCTACGCGGTCAGGTCGGTTCGAATATGTGATATTTCGGAACCGAGTCTAGTTCCTTCGATATCAATGTAATCTAGTAATCATGATTTTTTCTGTGTTGGTGTAATGTACTCAGGTGAATATGATGCTTGGTGAATATGATGCGACCTGACCGCGTAGCTCAGTTGGCAGAGCATTGGGCTAGTATTCCAAAGGTCGTAGGTTCGATTCCCACCGTGGCCAGGCATATTTTCAGGCTTGCCCGGTGTGGATATACACTCAGAGTAACATCACAAACATCTTATTCACCTGAGTACATCCCACCAACACAGAAAAAAAAGAAATACAGTGTCAAAAAAATGAAATACAGTGTAAATTTCATTGACTAGAAGATACAGTCATTTCTAGCAGAAAATAATACAAGAAACAAAACATTTACACGTGACAAAAATGGCTGGCGTTTTTAGTAGATTTTCTATTAAAATAATTTTTTTAAAATTAACTATTTCGCATGTGACTGCATATTTTTTTCATGTATATTTTTAGTAAGTAATAGTATGGTTTCTCGTAGAATTTGGAAAAACATACACTCGTGAGTTGTTCAAAGATTTCAAATTTTGATCGGTCATTTTTGCCAAATTGCCCTCAAAACCATACTATTACCTATACGAAGTAAAAATTCCAAAACGCTATTATCCTGCGAATGACGTCACCTTATTTACACTTTTAAAAGTCCTTTTCATTTAGACACACGTATTTTAGACGCACCATAATTAGCATTTCAATAAACAATAAAACCAGAATATTCTCACCAGATCATGCATAACGAATAACTTTTTCATTGCAAGATAATTGGAGTAAACATGAAGTATCTAACATTTTCTCAACAGCGAAGTTTAACAGTTTTCGCATTTTCTGTGCGAATGTTCTTGATGGGAGCAGAGGAGGCAGTGATATTTCCCTCTATATGGCCATATTTACAAATGTTTCACGCTATTGGTATCTTGGTCTGGTATTGTCTGCTTATTACACAGTTGGCATTGCCTCCGCCATCTTGGTTGGTCGTCTCGCAGACGGAAATATGAATCTTCGATTTTGCGGATTTGTTTGGAATCTGGCCGAGGTATAAGCATTATTTTAATGCCCAGAGATATATTCAAATCCAGTCCGATCAGATCGAATTTCTAGCGTAAAAATACGCACACGAAGAAAGCCTTTTGTCTTTGACTAAGCATGACTCGATTATTTATGCTGGAGATGTCGGACTCCAGAAACCTAACATGTTCCCCCTTGAAACTTGAAGTTGCATCGCAATATTTCGCAGTATATTCATACGTATTAGAGGTGTGCAAATCAGATCCGAAACCGATCGGATTCGTTCGGATTTCGGAACCAAAATATTCATTTCGGATCGGATTGATAAAGTTGTTTCGTAGTCGGATCGGACTTCGATATCCGAAATAAAATTAATTAATTATCCACGCATTATCGCAAGAATAATTATTCTTCATGCATTTACCAAAGCATTATCGCGGTTGTCGCTGCAGTATTCGTTTAATACTTCAATTGGACGTCACTTTGTCAGCTTCTTGACATGTATTTCTGCTTTTATATTTATTTGGTTAAATATTTCAACTTGAATGAGAAATTTATTTTATTAAAGAATTCATCGGATCGGATCGGAATTCTTTATCAAAACTCGGATCGGACCGGATTAGACAACTTCGGATCGGATTTTAAACATTACGCAATTGTCGGATTATAAACGTCCAATCCGATCCGATGCATACCTCTAATACGTATGCTTAAAAAGTATTTATTCTTGTTAGTTTAAATGTTCGATAATTATCTACTCGAGAAAATAAAGATGATCACAACTTAAAGGAATATGGTAATAAAAATTAACTTTGTCTTATTTGAAAGAACTTTTAAAGTTATATATATGAAGACCTTTTACAACCTTTTCGTATCTTGCTTGGTTTTCGAAATATTTTGACCAAAAACAGTATGCAGTTCGCCATCTTGGTATTATAATTCACCTAATTAACTGAGTTTTTTATGACGTCAGAAGTAGGGTAAACTTGTTAAAACTTCTTCATGTGGGACTAAATTTCTTCGAAAAGTTTCTTAAAATGTTGTGAGTTAATTGAGTACTAAAAAGACTTCGGAAAATCGACTCATATTGATAATGACATGTGGCTTGCAAGATAAAAATTTCCCTCTTTTTTACCCTACTTGTGACGTATGCATATCGAATGCATATCCAAGATGGCGGAATGCACGCTGCTTTTGATCAAAACAAGTCAATTTATTTAGAAAACAAGAGAGATACGGAATAATTGTAAAGGCAGTTTATATACCATTTTAAATGTTTTTTTTCAAATAAGACAAACTTAATCTATATTGCCATATCCCTTTAAGCATGCAAATATTTTCTTAGGTTGCCGGTAATATAATCTACTCACTGCACTATCACATGTTCTTGCCCCTGCTTGGTCGCATGGTTTCCGGCTTTGGAGAAGGTTATGTGTCCGCGATGTACGGAGAACTGGCTAGAATAACAACTGAAGACGAACGTACTCGATACTTTGCTATAATAAAAGCGAACTACATTATTGGGATTGTTGTAGGTCCAGCACTAAATCTCTTTCTAAAGGAGTTTGATTTCTACATCGGTGACTGGCACATTGATTTCCGCACATCGCCGGGATTTTTCATGGCTTTAATGTGGATACTAGCCACTGGTATCATGTTTGTATTTGTCTATGATCTCTCAGACGAGATGAGAAAAGAGACAGGGTATGAACTAGTTTCAGACTGTCCAAATGAAGAACAGTTTTCCAAAAAAGAGCAACTCCGAGAGGTGTATGGAAAAAATTGTCGCGAGGACGAGCATGGTCAAATGACGTCACCTCCAGCTGGAATAAATGACGTCACCAACAGCAAGAAACTGGCCGAGAAAGAACCTTAGAACGACTCAAATGAATCCAGTACTGGCTCATTCAAATATGCTCTAGCTGACATTTTTATGAAACCTCATATCGTTGTCGTAGTGTATTCAAACGTTTTTATGGCAATCTTTCACACATCTCTCCAAGCCGTCACACCTTTGGTTGCTGAGCGCATGTTAAACTGGAGTGAAACCGACGTCAGCTTGCTATTTACCCTCTGGGGTGTGGAAATTATCATAGTTGCAATCACCCTGTGTATGTTGCCATCGAAAGTTTCGGATAGACTCCTCATTCTGTTGTCTACTGTTTTCGGCAGCATTGCATCTGTGGGCGCTATTCTACTTGCCTGTTCCTCGCCGATGTCTAACAGCGCTTATTATAGTTTGTTGGTAACAATTTTCGTGGAAGGAATACCAATGACCATCCTTTATGTGGTTGGTCGTTCTTTAATTTCGAAACACACTAATCCAAACAATCAAGGCTTGGTTCAAGCTATACTGACTGCATTGGGTAGAGTGGCTCTACTTTCAGGACCATTGATTGGAAGCAGTCTGTTTACACATCAAAAAATCTGGGCAACTATCCTAGCAGGATCACAGATCCTGGGACTGATCTTGGTCATTCTTGTTTTTAACAAACTCAAAGTTAATCCAAGCAAAGCTTAGTAGTTGAATAAATACAGGATAAAAGATATATTCTGACTTCGTATTACATGCATGCTGTTATGTTTTGTTAAAACCTGTATTCCGTTCATTTGGTAGTTGTCTTTTCAAAGTTAAAACTCAAAATCTCAACCTCTAAGCGCGATGTACATGTATGGAGTATGTAATTCATAGCTCCGACACTCCGTAGATGCGGTTGCTCGTCCACAAGCCGCTTTAGTTTTGCGTAAAAAAGCGATTTATAATTTACGATTTCCCATGATTTTCACCTATTTCGGATTCACTTGATCGTCTAAAGCTACGTTTACACACAACGATTAATCATGTACGATTCGTATTCTGGCGTATTAAAATAAGTGCTGGCGCCATATTTCATTGCCGTTTCGTTGAAAAGAAATTTCAAAGGTAGCCAGCTTAGGCGTGTTTACTCAATGACATACGCCAGAAAACGATTATATAAACGATTATAAACGACGTATGCACGATTAATCGCATGCAGCGTGTAAACGTAGCTTAAACCGAATTCAATAGCAAAGCCGTATAGGATTCATTGCATTTTAAAACTTTTTCTGTAGGACATCCTTTTAATTATGTTCAAGGCAACTCCGTGTGCGTCGGAACATAAAATTCCAAAACGTGTGTGGGGTGGGGGGGAAGGGAAGAGAGTGGAAGGGAAGGGGGAGGACGAAGCAAGGCAACAGACGTAAAAAAGTACCCTCTATAGAAATTTATCCTATTGTTGTTAAGCACAGGATTTTATGCGACTGGTAATTAAAAATTCAATTCAATTGTGTTTACGCATTCTTGTGTTCAGCATAGTGCTCAGGCATTCAAATTATAACAATAGGATCATTTCTATAGAGGGTACATTTTTTGGGACACCCTGTAGATTATATTAATAATTTCCTTCCGGTAATAAGTCACTTTGGCCATAAAGCCTCGTCTTCGTGTGTACGAGATAAGTTGAATCACTGAAACGCGGCTCCATAGCCACAGGTATACGTACTTTTCAGAGGGGTATATTATCTTTCTACAATTATTTCCTTGAGTTATAGAGTTAGGAAACATATGATATTTCTCACATCAGCATTATTTTTAAAGAATATTAAAACAATGTCATACACAGAGTTTATTTTAAAAATACTTGGTTAATGATTGTGAAAAAGTGACTTATAGTCCGACAATAGAAATAATCGTTTTGGCCAAGACTGCATTTGATTCTTGACCTCCATAATATGCCGGTTGACAACGTCGGCGCATTATTATGTAGACGCGAGATATGCAACAGATATTCTCCAACAGGTTGAACAAAATGCATTGGATAGGACGTCCACATAATACAAATTAGTGTATGTTTTTGCAATGTAGTGCTGTAAAGCAACTTTCTAGCATCTGCATTTAATGCAGGAAAACTATTTCTTCGCAACGTTATATATATAATTCTCCTGTTCCAGCCATACCATTTTAACTAGTTCCGACCTTAATAGGAAATTTGGAAAGTCGGGATTTCAGCTGAAGCTATAGCGAGAAGTAAAGAGTTCATGATGGACCCGTAACCTTGCATACACGAATGTTTCTTTTCTTAAATCGTTCCGGTTCCCACAGAAGCTAGTGTATATGTCACCCAGCGGTATAACTGAAAATATAGATTCACCAGTTTTGAAATTTTGGAAATACATTCGTGAATAATCGAAGCTGCCCGTTGTCTTCGAACAGGCAGTAAAAGTAAAGCTTTTTCTCTATAAATCTCCGTTCACATTGTACACCAAATTCTTCCAGAAGTTCGTCAATGAATCTGGAGTCGAATGTCCCACAAAGTTCGAGACTACGGTCGTAGAGCATGTCAGCGTACGATGTTACTTCTCTTAAGGCAGTGTGCACTTTTACAACAAACATTCTACCATCACGTGGTGGGGGAGGACTGAACTTTGGACCAATTTCTTTTCGACCTTCAATTTGTTCCGCATGAGTGTATTTAGCCTTTTCTATGGAAGTGATCAAATAGCTTGACTTCTCACGTAAAACTTTGCATATTTTCTTGTGCTTTGACCAATGGTTTTCTTGGCAAGATCTGCTGCAATACGCTGCAGTAAAGCACTTTCCACACCGCTTGGGTTCGCATTTCTTATGACAATGTGAGCAATACGGAACGGAACAATTCAAATTACTAACGTTTTCATTTTCCCTGTTATTGTACACTCTGTTATTTTGGCTTTTGGCAGATTGGTATGAACTGGAAGGCTTTAAATACGACTTACTCGCTTCGTCCATATCGCCATGTGTGCTCAGCGATTCTACTACTTCAAACTCGCTTGCTTTCTCTACAAACCCGGGACCAACATTATCATAAATGTTGTTCAGTTCGATGACAGATCGAGAAAACTCTTTCCCTGCAGCTCGATATACCAGACAAACTCCCCCGGCTTTGTTGCGAAAAACTCTATTCGTCGATATATTGCAACAGGAATTGTTCTGGGACCAAATTCCCCACAAACCGTTATCAAAAGAGTTGTTTTCTCTGATATCTGCCTCACAATTCGTCACGTATATTCCATGGTCGTAATTGTTAAAAACGTTATTACGTATAAGAGTTACATTCGTTGAGTTCAGGACAGCGATTCCTGTCTCAACATTGTGGTGAATATCACAATTAATTACTACACATTCCAATGCTTCAGGTCCAATCACTAACCCATGTCGACCATTGTTATGAATGCGACTGCTTTTCACCTTCAACGTCCCACCTTCGCGCACTTCTAAGCCAACTTTCCCGTTGTTTAAAAAGGAACAGCCAACAACAAGCGCATTACCTTTTGCAGTATATAACCCACTATCCTTGGTGCTTGTAAAACTACATTGATCTGCATTAAAATCCCCCAAAGTTACAACAGCAGACCGACGATCATCATAAGAAGTAAAATTACAATTAAGGATCTTCACAACTGAACCATGCATACAGAATATCGAACCTTTATTCAAATAGAATGAAATATTTGTAAGCATGCACTTTAACAAGGGAATAACATAGTTTGACTTCAAAGAAACAGAACAGTCATTTCTCGTACCAACAAGAACACACCTGTCCCAAGGTCCGACAATTGTTTCAGAATTTAAGATATATTCTTCTGATCCCAGAACCAAAATCTTCAACACATCCGCTTCTACTTCATCCGAAAAGATAGCTTTTCGAAGTTCCTCCACAGAATCACATATAAAGATTCGTTCCTTCAAGGCTACAAAAGAATTTTTGAATAGTAAAAAATCTGAGAATATAACTTTATTGTGATAAAAAGCTAAAGCAGCAGCAATTTCAGCACTAACTTTCTCATTCAAGCCATCAAGTGCCAGAGCTTTTAACGCGTAACCCATCCAGCAATCTGGACTGCGCGTTATGTAATCATTCGCATCTTTCAAAGCATCTTCGTATTGCCCTAATTTTATGTAAGCTGTTGCACGATTAATAAGCAATAAAGGATTGAAAGCAATATTGCCCTTTTGAGCCAGATTTATTGCCAAAGAATACGCATTTAGTGCTTCTTTGTAGCGACTTTCTTTTAAACACTTATTTCCATCAAATCGCAAATTTTCAATTTTCTTTTTTAAATCAAGGTCACTAGCCTCAGGAGCAAGGTTACTAACCTCAGGATCAGGTTTTTCAGTCAGAGCTTCAAGTGAAACAAAAGGAGGTCTGCTACACCGTTGAATCTCCAACTGAAATGGCTTCGGTAAAGGAATTGGAAGTGGAAAGAGGAAATTATTAGAAACATTCCTTTCAACCGTTTCATACCCTGCTAAAGGAAGCCAGTCTAATATACGATAAGCAAAGTTCAAAATGCGCTTTGCTTCTTCATGTTTGTGATTTGCACTCAAATGAACAGCACATTCGTAAAGAATCTTAGCTGTTTCAGGAAACCACAATGAGTCTAGACAAACAGAGTTGACCAAAAGATTCTCCATATTTCTACAAAGATAATGACCATGCATGCAAAATTTAGACCACATAAAAAAGTGAGACGGACTACTAGGTGGATCAGAGAAAGATATTATGTTTTGCTGTGTATCATTCTTTTCATCCAACGTAACATGATTACTGGGTGAAAAACATTTAGAGAATACAAAAGAAAGCATCCGTACAGCATCAATGAAACTCTCTGCTTTCGATTCAGGAGTGAGACTTTCCCATACTAGTTCCTGAACCAAACGATGGGTGCTGACAGAGTGCACTTCAACATACGTGAAAAGTGAAAAGTCAGTCAACAATTTTAGAACCTCACGGCAACCCAATGGCGATGACACGCATTTTCGATATGCGACGTCTTCCACTGCGGGTGTTCCAATATTCATTAATTCTTCATCAATCTCATTTCCATCGAAAAATGAACAAGCATTCATAAATCGAACTGCAGCCTGACCATTCGGGTTTTTCTTTATATACTCCATATTGATAAGCCATGTCGTATGAACAGCAAGACGTTCAGGTGAGTCGTTACCTGCAGCACGTGCTTGTTGCCGACTGAGCAATCGCAAACGTTCAACTTTATATTGCTCCAAATACAAAGCGAAGCTGCAACTGCACATTTGAATATATGCTCCAGCTTGCTCCAAAGCAAGTGGCAGTCTCCCCAGTTCTTCACAAAGGTATTCTGCGAGACTCTCTGCACTTTTGTCACGAACTACTTTACTTCTTGAAAAAAGAAATTGTTTTGCTTCTTGGGACAGCAAACATTTCAATTGAAGACAAGAATCCTCCTGAAAAACTGACACTTCGTTGACAAGTCGTTTTGGGTTCCGTCTTGTTAGGACGATAAAATGCCCAAAGATATTCTCTTGTGAAGAAAGGGAAATAAATTCCATCATATTACGCGAAAGATCCAGTTGATCCAAGCAGTCGAGGACTATAAGACATGGGTGATGTATAGTGCTAATTTTTTTCAGGATATTTGGCAAAGTTAAATCAAATGAATTGAGTAATGCACCAATCCTTACTGCGACGGCATTCACTGTTTTGCTAAGATGTGTATCATCTTCAGCCGAGAACCAATAAACACCTCCTTTGTAGAAATCCTTCATCTGGTGAGCATACTCGGAAACTAAGCTTGTTTTGCCAATTCCACCCAAACCACACACTGCTGCAACGCGAACTTCCTTTTCGTTCATCGTTTCCTCAACTTTCAAAATACGTTTAAGCTCCTGAATTTGTTCAGTTCGACCAGCAAAATAATTATTTTGTGGGGGTGCAGTGAAAACGTAGGGAATTTTTTCTTCTTCCTTAATGCGATATCTTGACAGTTCATTGGCACGTTCGTCAAGAAGTTTTATTTCTTCACAATTTTTATTTACCAACATTTCATATCCTTTTAACTTCAAGGAATTGTTATTTCCCTGAATCTCGCATTTGTTTACTCTCATACGCAGATAGTCTATTTCTTTATTCAAGTTTGACTGCAACTCACTGATGTTCGAAAGTAGTGTTGTCATCTGTAAAACCATAAATATTTTACGTCAATCAAGTGTAGGTTGCTAACTAAATTGAATGTGTCTAGATAAGACAGCTCCGAAGGTGAACAACTGTTTTGTTTGTTTGGCGCTTTTATCGTAAAACTCATAATTGTTTCTTGAATTCGTCAGACTAATGTTCATAATTCCGCCGTAAGCTATATTTACGGCGAATCTGTTAACGATAAGCTCGTATGATTGGGAAAGCTTAATCACAACAATTGGCTACAATTGTGCAAGCAAGTTGTAGGTTTACTGCTGAGCAAAGTTTCGAAACTAAGCTCAGTATATGTACCATATATAACCCATATGAAAGATCATGCGCATTGGGCACATTCCCCATATTCTTGGAAGTAGTACAGAACGTTTTCCAAGACTCAGCATACTGTATACCTACAACCTAAAAGAAAATAATTTTCAAACCTGTTCTTTCTCTAAAGTCCATGTGTGGACAGCGTCACAAAGTTCATCCACTTCACTTCTGAGCAAAGTCAGGATTTCAATGTCGACAGGTTGACCAAAACACAACTGCAATCCTGAAAGTAAGAGGCAGTAACTACAATTAAATAAATTTATATCAGGAAAATCATCACATGTACGTAAGAGACAGTTTAGGTTAAATTTATATATATATATATATATATATATATATATATAGTTTTTCGTTTTACCTCAAAAAATATATATATATAATTCAATTTATTATATATATATATATATAATTCAATTTATTTTGGTTGTCTAGATATATAAAGTGCTCAATACTAAAAGTATAGCAGAGCTTATTAGATTGTCTATATCTTAAAATTAAATATCGCTACTCTGAGTTTCACGTCCTTTCTAGAC